AAGAGATTACAGTTTTCCTTTGATATTCATTTTATAGTCAGGATCAACTCAATTGCAGCTGTGGCAGTAACACCATCTGTCAATTTGAGGAAGGGGTAGAGTCTGGCCTGTCAATCAGGTTGCAGCTTGATGACCTCATTTGGCAGCACAATGGAGAAAGCTCACAGGAGACGGGACACACACTCTCCTTGGGAAGCATTCCTGTTGACAAGACACATTGATCTACGCTACAGCCCTAAAGCTGAAGGAGCCACATGGAGACCCACGCCAGAGCTAAGATGCTTACACCACCACTGGATCCATAGGACAATCTACCCACTGACCTGTGATCTTCCTGCTCTTGCTGTCATTGCATGTGTTTCGTGAGTCTGAAGGGGAATTTATAGGTTGGTGTCAGACATATGGGCAAATATTGGACTTATGGACTTGACTGGGCTGGGATTTTCCTCAATATTCAATTGCTCTTGTATATAAGCTCTTTCTTATGCACATGTGAGTGTTCTGCATTTGTTTCTCTAGTCTACCCCGACTAACCCAGCAGCATTGTAGTTTTCCAATATCCAGGAGTAAGTACTGAATCGGGAGTCAAAAGTCCCAAGTCCCTCTTTCCTTGTCTCGCTAGTAATCATGAGTAAAAACCTGGAAATCAATTTCTTATATGTAGAATAAGGAAATCTTTTCATTTATGTACATATAGTTTATGTACATATAGTTATATGTACAAGAACAATTCCTTGCATTCCAGATATTTAGAGTTAGAGTTCAAAAATTGAATGAAAATATCAAAATTTGACATATACATTCAGAAGAAAAACAGCAAAAGAAATTAACTAGTAAGGGAATATGATTAACTCCACAGAGATAAACCAAACAATGATCAAAAAGTTAAGTAAATATTTTCTAATTGGAATTTAAAATGAACTATTTACCTTCCGCCAAGAGTGGGGAAAGACAAGGTATCCTACTCTCATAAAGAATTACAAAGTGCTGTCCTCTGAACTGAATTCTTCTGGGGGCAGGGGCTGGGGTGTCCACATAGTTAGGATTGAGGCTACAGCTCAGGGATTGGGGTGCTTCTGATAAGAGCACACAGGAGCAAATGAAGAGGGAACGAAAGAGAGTGAAACACATTCTGGCCCACCAAGTCCTAAGGAGATGGCCCTACCACATGACATGACGCCCCTCATTGACCCATAGTGCTACGGGGACAACACTGGAGACACAGTGCAGGAATTGTACCCGATCTGACCCCGTCACACCAGGCCGAAACACTAAGGGCGTGCAACAGAGCAGCAAGAGGAGCCAAGCAATGAAGTCCCCAGGAATACCAAAAATAGACTTTGGGGCCAGGACATGGCACCCCATCAGTCCCGACCAGAAAACACTCCTTACCATCAACAAACAGACCTGGAACTATTTATAACCTTTTCTTTTTTTGTCCTTAGTTTTATGTTATTGTTTTGTTTTCTTTTGCTCTGCCTTATTTTTGTACTTTTTATTGTCTCTGCATGGCTATCTAGATAAGATAGGCAAGATAAACAATCCGGAGGAGAAATAATGGATGGACAGTTCATGGGGGATACG